GTTTTGGTGTACATGTTTATCAATGATAGTGTGGAGGGTATAAATGTGGATGTTCTGTGTTTGGGCAGGAATCCAATTTGACTTTTTTCCAAGATTTTGTGGGTTTTGAGAAAGTTTAGTAATCTCGTGTTAATAATCGAACAGAATATCTTCCCCAGGTTGCTATTGACACATATGCCTCTGTAATTGCTTGGATCATACTTGTCTCCTTGTTTAAAGATGGGTGTAATTAGACCTTGATTCCAGGTGTCTGGAAAATATCCTACACTCAAAACAATGTTGAATAATTTGGTTATTGCAGTTTTGAATTGATCATTTGTGTGTTTGATCATTTCATTTAATATCCCGTCGATGCCGCATGCTTTGTTGGGTTTTAGTGCATGTAGTCTGTCTGTTAGCTCATTTACTGTGACTGGGAAATCCAGGGGATTCTGATTGTCTTTAGAAATCCTGAAAGAAAAAATTAATTAGTTTTTTATTTCATTCCGAGCAGGATTTGTTTCAGTTGTTTTGTACAGATTTTCAAAGTGTGTCCTCCATATGCTCTCATTTTGAATGGCCAATTCTTCCTTTTGTGGTCTATAGAGAGTGTTCCAATTGCTCCAAAAGTTATTGGTATTTATTGATTCCTCCATTGTTTGAAATAATTGTTCTGTATGCTCTTCCTTTTTTGCTTTTAGAGTTTGTTTGTACACTTTAAGAGCTTCATGATATTGAAGACGGAGTTCTTGGTTGTCAGGATCTCGGTGTTTTTTATTTGAAAGATTTCGTACTGTCGTTCTAATTCTTTTACACTCACCGTCAAACCACTTTTCATCTGTGTTTTTTATTTTTATTTTTGATGATTTTTTCAAATTGCACATGGATGCTGATTGGTTAAATATATCTGTAATGTCCTTTAGTGCCAGATTTATGCCTACTTTATTTTGTGGATACGTGTTAATTTATAAATTTGTCCAATAGTAATTTATTTGACTTTCTATTGCACTTTGATCGTTTTCTTTGCTGTTTTTTGTCCATTTGTAGGATTGATGCAGCTTTAGTAACTGAGAGGGCTGTCTGCATATTTGATAGTTTTGAGCTGGTTTTAGATGGTGTAATCTTACAGTGGTCTGACAGAGGTGTTTGAGGACTGACTGTGAATGCTCTGAGATGCACTTGAGCAATGTTTGTGATGAAATCATCTACAGTACTGTTACCAAGGAAAGAATTAAAGGTATAACAGCCAAAAGAGTCTCCTCGCATGCGACCGTTCACTATGTACAGGCCCAGTGATTGACAGAGCTGGAGTAGGCTTTTCCCACTTTTGTTTGTGAAGCGGTCAATTTTTTCTGCGGTGATATGAGGGCAGAGAGTGGCAGGGGTTTGTAATATATTTGTCTCCTTGTGTGTTGATAAAATCGGCTTCATTTCCAGTTCTGGCATTTAAGTTGCCACATATTAAAACATTTCCTTGTGTCTGGAAATGGCAGATCTCGTCGTGCAGGATAGAAAAGCTTTCTTCATTGTAATAGGGAGATTCAGCCGGGGGTAAGTATGTGGCACACAAGAATTTGTGACGGTCTGTGGACACAATATCTTTTTGTATTTATAGCCAAATGTATGATTTTCCGATTTTTATAGATTTGATTGAGTCTCTGAGTTCTGTTCTGTACCATATCAGCATTCCCCTAAGTCCTTGAATATTCCAACATGAGATTTTTAAGGAATATGAGTTCATTAATCACCTTTGTTATTGAAAAATTTAAGGGGGTCTGAATACTTTCCGTACCCACTGTATATATATATATATAAATAACACACATGTGGGCTACATTAAAAATACACGTGTAGATACATACGTACACGCATACATTTCTCATCCTTTTTTTTTTTAAGTCACTAACCCATGAGGTGAGAGCACAGCAGAGTCAGCATGTGCTGGATGTTTCTGAGGTCTCTGGATTGAGACGCAGTCGGCTGGCTGTGGTCTGTGTTGGTGCTGGGGTTTATCAGTGATCTGCGCGCTGCTTCGGCGTAGCTCTGGCTGTCTGGGTGCTGCTCCTGCTGATGTGAAGGAGCTGCAGGCCTGCTGATGCGGTGTGAGCCTGCCGTGGGGGTCCTCCGGTGGAGGGGGCACTGATCTGAAGGGTGTCTCTGTAGTGGCTCTATGGGGTGTCCATGAGGTCGCTGCAGTGTGCTGGAGCTGCGGCTCAGTGCCATGTCCTTTAGGGTCTTGGCAAAGATGGGAACTGCCCTTCTGTGGAGATGGACATGGTCGTAAAGGCTGTTGAGATTGAGGGTGGTGTGTTGAGCCAGGTCAACATTGGGCTTTAAGGGCACAGTCTCTAGACACTCTGGTGTTTATATGCCTGATGGTGTCTGGGTGGAAATCCGAGCACAGCAGCAGGGTGGAGAGGATGATTCTGGAGTTGGGGAAGTTGGAGGATGCTTTCTCTGCTACATTAACGAGAGCTGTAGCTACTCTCTCTTGTTGAGCTCTCAGCTCGTTGGTGCCGGTGTGGATGATAATATGGCCGGGGGAACCCAGCTGCTCTTCACACAAGAGCTCCAGGGC